CTTCATTCGGCAGGGCCGCTTGAAGAATGCATCTCGGGATGTCCCTCCCCAGGAACCCGGCTAATGAGATGCATTCTTCATTCGGCAGGGCCGCTTGAAGAATGCATCTCGGGATGGCCCTCCCCAGGAACCCGTCTAAGGAGATGCATTCTTCATTCGGCAGGGCCGCTTGAAGAATGCATGTCGGGATGGCCCTCCCCAGGAACCCGGCTAATGAGATGCATTCTTCATTCGGCAGGGCCGCTTGAAGAATGCATCTCGGGATGTCCCTCCCCAGGAACCCGTCTAAGGAGATGCATTCTTCATTCGGCAGGGCCGCTTGAAGAATGCATCTCGGGATGGCCCTCCCCAGGAACCGGCTAAGGAGATGCATTCTTCATTCGGCAGGGCCGCATGAAGAATGCATCTCAGGATGGCCCACCCAGGAACCCGTCTAAGGAGATGTATTCTTCATGCGGCAGGGCCGGATGAAGAATGCATCTCAGGATGGCCCTCCCCAGGAACCCGTGTCAGGAGATGCATTCTTCATTCGGCAGGGCCGCATGAAGAATGCATCTCAGGATGGCCCTCCCCAGGAACCCGTCTAAGGAGATGCATTCTTCATTCGGCAGGGCCGGATGAAGAATGCATCTCGGGATGTCCCTCCCCAGGAACCCGTCTAAGGAGATGCATTCTTCATTCGGCAGGGCCGCATGAAGAATGCACCCCCACCCCCACCCCCCGCCCCCTCCCCTGAAGAATGTGGTTCCACGGTTTCTGCGAGAAACGTGGCGACATGAAGAATGCAGTGATGAAGAATATATATATATATATAGGGGTCCCAGCCCCGGACCCGGTCCCATGAAGAATGGCTTCCTGGAGAGGTATATGAAGAATACGTGACACGATTCCATGAAGAATGATGTGCTTCGTGTGGCGAACCACAAAGAAAACCACAGACATATGAACAATGACCATGCATATATATATATACATACATACATACATACATATGTACATCCTCCCTCTCTCTCTCTCTATATATATATACATATATATATATGTGTACGTATCCATATATATATATACATACACACATACATCATGTATCTACACATATGCATGCGTTAAGACCTATACATATATATATATATATGTACATGCATGCAAGTCTATATATATATATACAGTTGTCGGTACACATGCATATGTCTGTCTAGGTATATATATATATGACCAGTACAACACTTACATAGTACTTTGTCATATACATACAAAGACATATATATATATATACGTACACATATGTATGTATACACAAAAATATATGTGTCTGTCTGCTATACACTTAATATAACTTCTTGAACATGTGCATGGGGGGCCATGCATGTGCAAGCCTTGGTTGAAGGACTAGAGACAGGTTCTGATGATTCCAATCAAGTAATCCACTCCTCCTTGAACACGCATTGATATGTATACATACAGATATATACATATGTACATGTGTCACCACAGAGATACACACCCTGTAGGCATTTTCTTTGTATATATATATACATAGATATAAAGAGAGCATTATATATATATACACACATGTACACTTACACATGCACTGTCCCTGTTATACAGACCTATATATATATACACATGTATATATACATGTATGTGTCCACAGGCATGTGGCTTTCTATGGTGTGTTCTTATCCAATCTACTGCGATGTAGACAAGTTCCTGGTCCCTTCAAAGAAGCTATACTGATGTGGTGTGCCAGGGCTGCACTCCAAGCACCAAATTCGGGAAGCTCCTGCTGCGAGATTGATCTGCGCGGAGGTGTCTAGATGGACCGACCTGAAGAGATGCTAGCAGGGCCGCCTTACATTTTAAAGCCTTCATGATAATAACATCTAGATATATATGCGTACGTATGTGGAACGACACATCCAAAATTTATGTCTTCAGAGGACCATCACAAGCAGAACTCTTTCTTATATATATATATGTATATATACATATATATGTATGTATATATATGTGTGTGTTTAGTAATTGGTGTATGTATATGTATATAGGTACACACACACATATCTATCTATACATATATATATATATGTGTGTGTAGGCCCTCTCCTCCGTCCCTATATGCATGAATATGTGTCTGTGTGTTTATTATGTATGTGTGTTTGTATGTATGCATGCAGGTATGCTAGCTTGTGGAACCAGATGAAGCTTGTGCACTCTTTGGATCCCCAATTAAAAGCCATCTTTAACCTTATAGTAACCACTCATCCAATCGCATCGTTCCTCGCAAACGCCACAATTACGCCTGAACACAGCACACCTTGCAAAGGCTTATAGGCTTTAATCTTGTCCTGGGCCCCCTGCTATGCAAAGCCTGCACCCCCAATCCGTTACCAAAGCCGTCCTGAGCTCCTATTTATATCTTGAGGCCATGCAAATGCTCAACTAGGGAGTACACCTGATCTTACAGTAGAGTGGAACTCCAAAAGTGAAATCATTGACTAGATCCGGGGTTTGCGAATAAACCCTACATAAACCCTACAAACCGCTATATATATATATATATATAAACCCCAAAGTCCTGAACCCTATTCACCCTATAAACCCCTATATATATATATAAATATGTATATATATATATATAAACCCTATATAAACCCCTATATAAACCCCATATAAGTCCTGAACCCTAGTCTGAATGCCTGTCATGGCCGCATAATTAGCGTCAGCAACTCCGCAAGCCCACAGCAGGATCTGGCCGTATTCCGCATCGATCCTGTAGCAGTCTTTTAGGTCCTGGGGTGTGTATATATATAATCTAGGGTATATATAAGGAAATATATATATATATATATTTAGATAGATTATAGGGTTTCGGGTTAGTATATATACATATATATAGAGGGATCTAGAGTGATTCACACAGAGCATTGATGCGACTCTTTGACAAAAAGACATCCGGAGCAAACCTGCGGGACTGTCTATCTGGGTGGATGACGATTTCATGTTGTTCGTTTGTCTACAAGTGCTGCTGTGATCTTCCATTGTGAGCTTTCTTGCTGGTCGCTCAAGCTGGCTTAAGTACTGGTGTGCTCACCCCGCGGCTCCCTCTCTGTTCCTGACCAGGAAATGCATTCTGAAATGAGGTCCAAAGTCTTCAGTACGGAGACCTTGGAGGATGGGGAGTCGACTCTGAGGGAGGCTCCATGGAGGAGGCTCAATGGCGATGACAAGAAATCATTAACGGCCGAGCTGCAGAGGCTCCAGGAGCCCTGCAAAAAATGTAAGCCCTCTGAGCCCTAATAAATTAAGCCCAGAAATAGATAAGGTATAGAAATACATACATACATATATATATATCTATATATCAGGTGTTCAGGCACCTGGATGGATGTACCTCCTGTAGAACTATCCTTGTAACCTTGCATCAGGAGATGAAGAAGCAAATGCTGCAGCAGAAGAAGCTAGCCCAGCCCGTCACTCCCGAAGATTCCCTCGGAGCCCCACCGTCACCCAGCAGCGGCACTGCCTCCCCGGCCTCCGACATCACTACCAAAGCCCAGTCAAAGGATTTGGCATCCAAGTTGCCAGTGCCGACGCCAGCTCGAACTGGCAAAGGCGCAGGTGGCACGGGCAAAGGTGTTGGTGCCATGACGGCGCGGCGCTCCTCAGATGCTCCGCAGGCCCCTATATTATTGAACCGTATCTTATAGATCTATCCATCCATCCAACGGTGAGTTCATCTACATCCACTCGTTCTGGTTGACCTATCCACAGACCCACATTAATTAGTTCAAGCGCCAACATAATCAGAACATATATGTATACATGTATGTATGTATGTTCTAGCAAAATCCCAAACCTGTGCATGGATCTATACCATAGATGTGCATTAAGGTACATGTCTATCCATCCCTGAATAAAGGGTGTAGCCGGTGCCCTGGTCCTATATATATATATATATAGATTTCTACTCCTATTCAGGGTAGAGGTACATAGGAACATTCATGTATACATGCTTTGTAGATGTTGCATGTGGTTTGTCTTGACATAACAGTTGACACACGTGCATGTGTATGTGATGTGCATTTATATATACAGATACAGATATCTATACAGCTACCCGGAGTGTGTGTTTGTGTTTATATGTGTGTATGTATATATATATATTTTTTTTCCTGTGTCTGTATCACATACACATCCAAACTGCCACTCTCGCAATGATCCTTAGAGTAGTGTTTGGCACAGGAGCGATGGTACTTTATTTCGTGGCCATGTACACACATCTTGTCGTTTCGTTTCTGTGTGTGTTGACTCCACTCGTGTATAGAGACTGGATGCATGCATGCAGGCGGTGCAGCGATCAGACAGCTTGGCCTCGACAGTGCCTGGGACGGACTCACAGCTGCCATCGGGCGATGGTGCGCAGCCTGTGTCTGCCAGAAGTGAGAAGAGCCAGGACTCACACAACCCGCCCGAAAAGAAGGTGCCTGAGGAAAGCCAGGACCCCAAGAACCCCCCCGAAAAGAAGGTGCCTGAGGAAAGCCAGGACACAAAGAACCCCCGCGAAAAGAAGGTGCCTGAGGAAAGCCAGGACACAAAGAACCCGCCCGAAAAGAAGGTGCCTGAGAAAAGCCAGGACACAAAGAACCCGCCCGAGAAGAAGGTGCCTGAGGGAGCCAAGTGAAATATATGTGTGTGTGTGTCTCTGTGTGTGTGTGTGTGTTTGTTTGTCTGTGTGCCTTCGAAGTCGGTTCGCTTGCATTGCGAGCATGAGGCACGAATTTAAGTTGCACTCACATGTGGTCGTGTGTTGAAGATGGACATGCATGTGGTCACGTGTATCCTAGAAGATGAAATCTCAGTACATATGCTGGTGCAGTTTCTGTGTGCTTGAGAGTGGATTGAAGCTGAAGGTGAAGGAAGAGTCAGTCGCTGACTTGGTGGCCAGCTGTATGGAGTCTGTGCAGACACAGGTGTCAATGTCATCGCTGCGAAAGCGAATGGCAAGGCTATTCGCGCCGAGGGTGGATGGCAGTTACCTGGTGCCACGAGAGTTGGTGGAGCAGTACAAGGACACGGCGCTGCGCCCCAACTTGGAAGAGGAGTTCCTGAAAGCCGGCCTTGACAAGGACGGATCAGTTAAGCTGGGTGCCCTGATCAGTATACTGAAAAAAAGCTTGCCTTTGTCAGTGTTGGTTGCTTGCCAGCTAGGACCTGTTCGTCAAGCGCTCCATTAAGAAGGTGAAGCGCCGAGAATCCGAAGCGGAGCTTTGGGTTTCGGGACAGTTCGTGTCAGATGGCGACATGGATGAGCTCGGCATGACAGAAAAGCGGAAGAAGGCTGTTCACGACGAATGTGCGAAGATGAAAGGATGGATTAGGCAGGGTGGGATATGTAATCATGAAGAGGGGGAAGAGAAATAGTGTGAGAGAGAGAGGAAAAGAAAGAAAGGAGACGCGAGAACAAGGATGAAGAGCACGTGCATGTGTGAGTGTAGATGTATGTATGTATGTATGCATGCATGCATGCATGTATCTATATATGTATGTATGTATGTATGTATGTATGTATGAATGTATGTGTGTGTATATATATATATATGTATGTATGTATGTGTGTCTGTGTCTATGTGTCTTTATACATGCACTGTGCTATTAAGGATCTACATGTCGTGGAGCCATTTCTGGCCGGTTGTCATGACACCATTGTGCTGCAGGCGGGACCGGTACGAGCCGGAGATCAAGCTTTACTGGCTGGAAAAGGCTGTGGAAGGAAAGGTGCTGATTCTCGGCGGGTTTCCTATGAACGAACATGTTGTCGCATGTGTCTCAATTTGCTCTCGATCGGTCTCTCTTTCGATCTCTCTCTCGAGATCTGTCAAGTATATATATGTATATATTTTTTTTATATGTCGCAACTTATGTAAAGCTTGCTTTCGATCGCTCCCTATATATATATAAGGGCATCTAAACGTCTGTTCTGTTTGTGTGTGTCCGAACTTAACATGTGAATGGGCTTGTAGTGATTCTAGTGTACATGTAAACATGCAAAAGCCTTGCCTCAGCTGGCTTTTGAAGATGTTGTCACTCTCATCAGGAAACGCAAGCGCGAGATCTACGAGGAAGAGGACAGTGATGTGGAGATGGAAGCTAGTGATGATGAGAAAGACCTTGACGTCTTCAACATGTCATGGGGCCTCGGTGACGGTGGACCCAAAGGCGCTTGCAACCAGACTAGCATGTATCGACTTGCTTGTTAGCATACTGCATTTCTGAGCAGAGCTTGCGCTGTTGTTCTTGACTGCTCCTAGCTGACCTCACGAAACATATGAGTTGATTGCTTTTGCAGGGGATGAGCCAAGAGTTGCTGGTGCTGATCGCACCGAAGATGTCCGCAAGAGCCTCAAGGCCATCAGCTTTCCAGAGATGGATGCTGATGGCTTGCCATCAGCTTACATCGTGAAGGTTGTCACTTGCCTGGGCAAGTGGAACACCAAAGCCGGGAGCATCCAGGAGCAGCTGAAGGAGTTCAAGAAGACTGAGCGGTCCGAGAAGAAACTTTGCTTTGCTGCAGTTGCCGCAAATTACTCGGTAGTACATATATATATATATAGGGTGTGTCCGTGCATCGAAGTCCATATTGGGCATCGATGGGTCGTCGCTTTGCTGTCTTATGAGTCTTAAGGATCATGGAGAAAGCCAAGCAGCTGGTGTCGAAAATCGAGCAACAGTCTGACAAGATCCAGCACATGCAAGCGGAGAGTGCGCTTGCTGGTGGCTTCACTCTGGAGTGGCTTGACAGGGCTAGTAGACTTCCCATATACACCCCATATAAACATGTGCAGGACTACGGGGAGTATATACCAAAATTTCTTTCTATAGGTACAGAACTGGAGATAGAGAAAGGCATACATCGTGGAAGGAGGTGTGTCTATGGATATATATATATATGTGTGTGTGTAGAGAGAGATATAGTGTATATACATATAGGTGCATGCTTGTATGTCTATGTGTATACATGTACACACACATGTATATTCATGCATATACATATATATATATACATAAATCATACATATATATATATATGTTTATTTCTGTGTGTCTGTGTTTGTGTGTGAGTAGACGTGTAACACTGAACCTCTATCGTCCGGCCAGGCGTCGAGAAGCATGTCCATGAGGTACAAAGACATCCTGCCCGGTTAGTTCGAGTTTACTTTCTTCAAAAGTGTAGGGGGCTATACAGATTCATGCAGTTAAAAGGCTCACTGAGGTTAGGGCCTTCAGGTTGGGTTATTCAAGCAGGCTTCCTAAGACGCCCAGTACTCACCTCTGCAGCAGCTTGCTGGGTGTAAGGGCATGAGATCCTGTAATTGTAAAACTTCAAATGCAGCATCCTCTGAAGTTCATATAGGTCTTTTCGACTTCGAAAAAAGAAGGGTCGTCGCACGTGTTGGGATGCCGGTAAAGGGCACAAGGACCCTCAACCCCGGATCCCAAATATACCAAGCGAATGTAGGGAAATAGGGTTGAGGGTTTCTAGAGTTTATAGGGATTTAGGGTTTATAGGGTTTATAGGATAGGGTTTAAAGGGTTTAGGGTTTATAGGGCTTATAGGTTTTAGGGTTTATAGGGTATAGGGGTTAGGGCTTATAGGGTTCATAGGGTTTATGGGGTTTAGGGCTTATAGGGTTTATATATAGGGTTTCGGGTTTATAGGCTTTAGGGTTTAGGGCTTATAGGGTTTATATAGGGTTGATAGGGTTTATATATATATAGGGTTTGAGCAGGGTTTGTGGTTCGGCATGGTATGGTTATACAGTTGAACTAAATGAAGCCAAGGCCCCAATTCCATATAATAGTCTGTCCCAGGCAGCAGTCTGAGATCAAGAAGATGTTCGACGAGTCGAAGCAGATGCTTCCTGATGGCATTTGAGTAGCAGGGCTTTGCACTTGCAAGTCGCTTGAATGACTGGGGAGGTTGCTATTAAATGGGCTTGCTAGACGCAGTCGGTCTGAGAGTTGGGAAGCAGGATGCGGAACGAAATGAACAGTGCTCCCGTCATTCTCTAGCTGAGCGATACACCGCTACACCTGTATGTGCCTTTTTTTTGGAGAGGTCAGGGAGTGTGTGTATGTATGTGTTTGTTTGGATCAAACTAGATGGCGGCATGCTGCTATTCCCGTTTGCAGGCTCTGTGCTAGTCACACTAGATCGATGCGCAGTGCCTAGAGGGGGTCCATGTACATACTTTTTCAATTGTATCCACACATGGTGTTATGTAGTGGTAATGAGAGATCGAAGTCTTTCATGTCAATGTCAAGCCATGGAAGTAGTCATCATCATCTGCACGTGTATGCTTTCCGAAACCAGCCGCCATGATACATGTATCTACATATAATGAAACATGCTGTCAACGGTGGAACTAGCTGCAGTCCCAGTCACCCACTTCCGCATGGACCGGTCTGCGCCAACAATTCCTGTCGGTGTCTTGCTGTTCGAGTTCGGATATGAGCAAGCGTCTGCGAAGCTTAGCTTCGATATTGTGGGATGATGATCAGAATGCTGATGTGCTACTGCGGGACTGGAGCAGGCAAAAGACTTCTTGCATTTCTGGGAACAGTGCTGGGGAACCTTCTGCTGAAATACGAGAATCGGCAGAGCCAGAGCGGCCTCCTGTGCAGCCGCTTTCGGAGCTGCCAGTGTTGGCTGAGAAACCTTGGTTGCGAAAACTTCGCCAAAAAGATCCTTGGCACTGGTTGAAACAGTTATCCGAAGAGGTGAAAGCTGCACCGGGTTTGTCGGACATCGTCCAGGACTTAGACCGTACAAGCTTCGCTGGGGCAGCAGTGTGCTTTGACCTGCCTAGTGCAACGCTTGCATCTAGTGTACTCTCGCATGCTGAGCTTTGCATCCGGAGCATTTCATCCAGACACCCTGCTGTGTTCAAGATTGGTGTCACTCGAAACCCGGTGCACCGCTGGCTGCACAGTACCTATGGGTACAAGATCGACCAACATGTTTCCTGGGAGAGAATGACTGTTCTGCACGTGCATTCTAACGCTGATGTGATTTGTCTCCTGGAAGCATCTCTAATTCGCATATTTTTCAATACAGCGGGATGTCGAAACATTCGCCTAGGTGGGGAAGGCATGGATGACAAGACTTCGGGCCCTTTCTTCTGCTATGTAGTCCAGCGTGTGCTTGTGCCACCCAAAAAGAATTAGGAATTAGACAGTAGCCTGGGTGTGTTTGCTTAATTAGGAACTAGACAGTCGCCTGGGTGTGTTTGCTTTGCTGGCACGATCTCACGCGCTGGGGCCTGCTGCTTGGATGTTTCTCTTAGAGTTGGCTGGGATCCGTGTGTTCTGGCTGGCTGCCTAACTAACAATTTAAGGCCAAAACAAAGCCAGAAACGCTAAGAATACACAGCCTCCTGATCCCTTGGAAACCTGGAGCTCTGAAGCAACTAAAATTAAGACAGCCGAGACAAGCAACCATGCTTGTAGAGGCTGATCGGTCGTGAAGCCTTGCATGGATGGTTGAATATGTGTAGCCAGCTGTGTGTCTAGATTAAATCAGGAAGACCAAATTAGTGCATGAATGAACATGCAGGATCCAATTAAGGTCCTTCTCGAGGCCCCTCATGGAAAGAGGTGCCATGATTCCATGTTTCTACTTTGTAGATGGATCAGCTACAGGGATCGAGGTTTTGAAACTGGGGCTGTGAGTGGTACTGTGCAGAGCACTTTGTGATTGACTTCAAGAGCTCTTAGCTGGGTAGGAAGGTAAGTAGGTAGGTAGGTAGGTAGGTAGGTAGGTAGGGGAGGTAGGTAGGTAGGTAGGTGGTAGGTAGGTAGGTTTCTAGGTAGGTAGGTAGGTTGTAGGTTTGAGGTAGGTAGGTAGGTAGGTAGGTAAGTGGTAGGTAAGTGGTAGGTAGGTAGGCAGACAGGTAGGCAAGCGGGTAGCTATGGGTAGGTAGGTGTAGGTATATAAGTAGGCAGGTGGGTAGGCAGGTAGGTAGGCAGGCAGGTAGGTAGGTAGGTAGGTAAAATGGATCTCGCTATGTGCCAAGGTTTGCTGTTCTGACTAGCATCGAAGTTGCAGACGATTTATAGGCGCACAGTGAATAGCTAGGTCTGCACACGAGTTTCTTGTGCAGCTTTGATCGCAAGCCTAATTGGGCTGCATGCAACCTTCATAGTCACATCCTGCATAAGCCTGCGCCCCATTTTAATGTAATTACTCTTGCAGTCGAGCCCCATTGAACACCCCAACTCAATCCCAACCCGCAAGCACGAAATCATTACAAGCCGAAGTTTGGACCCTGTATAGTTGTAATTTCAGTCCCTCAGTATGTATGTACACATGTTTGTCTGTATGTATGTGTGTATGTATGTATGTATGTATGTATGTATGTAGGTATGTACGTATATGCATGTGCATGGCAACGCTGCATGTGCATGTGTATGTGCATGTGTACGTGTATGTGTATGTGCATGTGTGTATGCATATATATATATATGTATATGCATAAATATGTCTATATGTACATGTATAGAAATGTTGATGTACAATTGTATATATGTATAAATGTTTGTATACATGTATATGTATAACATGTATAATGCATGGGTCCAGACACATACATATGTATATATATATATATATGTGTGTGTGTGTAGACATATATAGCTAGATATGGGGAAAATAAATACGTAAAATATGCATATATTTAGGTATGTGTGTATATATACACACAGAGAGATCCTCCATGCTACTACTTCATTAAAGCCCGGCCCCCACCCAAACTGGACGCTGCTGTGTTCCTGTTTAGGTCGATCTCTAATCAGGTCGAGGTCTAGATCGACAGATAATGTGTAGAATTGTGGTATTGCCTCGTGCGGGCACCTGAGAAGGGCCCTGTACTAGTGCCCCCCGTAGGATGACTCCTGATGAATAAACCCTTACATATATATATATATATATCCCTCAGCGCTACTCGAGGTTTATCTATACATATATATATAGGCTTATATGGGTTCTTGATACCAGGGTGTGGTTCTTAATTTGTCTCTATTTCACACTAGACCCTTATATAACCTCAATCCAACTGCAAGACTTTCTGAGGTGCGTCGAGGCCCTGAGCTTCACAAGCAGCTGCCAGCCCATGGTCCAGTACTTGAAGAGCCAGAAGAAGAAGCAGGATGCGGATGCCTCCAAACGCGTTAAAACTGAGTGAATCCTAGCTGGCTAGAGCCTCTGTGAGCAAGCTTGCACGGGGCTGACGCTGGCATGGACATGGTGTCTTAAGGCCAATATTGTACACACAGTTTCTATATGGCTCCTAGCTGCAATGCCCGCGCGCACTTGCTGGATGTAAATACCTACCTGACTCTTATCTGCTAGAAGGCCCCATGAGCAGTCCAGCTTTTCCTGCGTAGAAAACAGTCCTGTGCGACCGATGATGGAGCATCCATCGTACATCATAATTATTTTATAGTGCTATGCTGCGCTGCTTTGATAGCAGGCAATTAGGTTTGCAAGCAGCGTGTCTGAAACATGCTACCCACATGCATATGTGTCCTGAAGCACGGACATGCCGAACTGCGTTTCTCTGCAAGGAGTCGCCGGGCAGTAAATTGGAAAAAGCCACGTATAAACGTTCTTGTGCTGAGACTTGCATGGACTTTAACAGAATAATTAATTGGTCTCCAGGTACTAGCTCCACTGCGGAACCGACGCCGATACTGGAGAATCTCTTGGAGAATGTGGCGGATGGGGCCACGCGGTGTCTTAAGAGCTCCTGATGTTGTATTGCGAGCGCCAATTAAGAGGCTAGAGAATCATAGTACATCCTGCTAGAAAGTATCTTCCGACTGTACAGGTAGGATTTTACAAGGGATTAGTGAGAGTTTGTTGAGGTTTTAGTTTGGGTTCGGATTTATGTTATACATACATATATATATATATGTATGTATATAGATATGCATGCACCATTAATGGAGTTTATATTCTAGCAAGTTTTGGTAAGTCTTATAACCAGAGACGTATTTACATACATACATATATATATATGTATATATATGGTACCTCGTATATATATATATAGAGGGTTGTAATGGAGCCTTTGGAACGTTCTTGTTTTTGTTTTCAACAGCTAATCAAGCATTTCGTGCGGGATTGTTTACGGGTATGGCTTCTACATGGGTTCTGGATCGAGGACTTTAAGTGCAGACGGCTTTATAAGCTGATTCAGTGGTTCTCAGACTTGTGGGGGGCTTTGTCCGAGGCTTGCTTCGAGGAGCAGCGTTCGTTTCTTTAGCTGTTTCTCTCCTACGACGCCTGTTTCTCTGCATGCCTGAACTCATGTCTACACAACTACGTATCTGCCTGCATATATGTACATATGTATATATATATACATACACAGATATATATATGTATATATAAGCAAATGGTGTTTGTGTGTATATATATAATCATGTATGTATGTATGTATATATATATATGTATGTATGTATGTATGTATGTGTATCTATGCATGCATGTAACTGTGTGCGCGTGTGTGTCACTGTGGATGGATGGATGGATGAATGGATGGATGGATGTGTGGATTGATGGTGGGATGATGGATGCATGGAATGATGATGGATAGATGGGTGGATGGGTGAGTGAATGAATGCATGAATTCATGATTGCATGATTGAATGAAAGATTGCATGATTGAATGAATGACTGAATGATTGAATGAATGAACGAACGAATGAATGAATGATTGAATGAACCAAGGCCCGAACCAAGTGCACAAAGACTCGGCTGTCTATCAGAGAAAGAGTGTAGAAATGTGTCTGCTAATAGCCAACATATTCACCATACATACATACATACATACATACATAAATTACATAAATTATGCAGTGTGTGCATGAGTG